CTCATCTCGCTTCATCTCCCGTTCACTTCTCGTTGTCGTGCTCTCTCCACCTTTCTTCTTGCCTGCAGCATTCTCCTTACCTGCTCCCCTCCCGTCTCCTCCCCTCTCCAGTCGAAATCCTTGATTCGCACCCCTACCCATCTTTGTTCATCAGAAACTATATCAAGGACCCCCTCTTTGCGAGACCTGTACAGTCTGTGTGTACCCCAACCCTATACACTCTTCCACCCCACCCCCTATTTTGAAAGACCCTCTTCCCCTGTCAGGCCCACCAGCGTCTCTCCCCCCGGCCCCTGGAGACACCCAACAAACCACATCCCCACTCATACCGGGCCGCCGGGCTGCTGGCCCAGCTGCTGGCCAGGCTGCTGGCACCCATTGTGGCCTGCCCATTGTTGCGGCTGGCACCCAGGCTGGCACCGGGGCCGGCCGGGCCACTGGCAGCGCGGCGGTGGCCCCCGGCATACTATGATCGGACAGTCACTGGGCCGGGCCCGGGCGGCGCCCCGGGGCCGGCGCGCGCCGAGCCGTGGCAGCCTGAGTGACTGCATACCAGCCTCTGCTGAGTCCCCGGCAGCGGCAGCCTGGCAGGGCCCGTCGCCGTGGCACGGTGACCGGCGTTGCCCGGCCCGGGTGGCGCCGGCGGCACTGCGGGCCGGGCCGGCGCCTGGCCCGGCCCGACTCCGAGCCTCAGTCACTGAGTGAATCACATCGAAGGGGCCTATCATTCAGAAGGACCACCTACCCCATCCTGTGTTGTTGATATGACCCGTGGTGTACCTGCCCGAAATAGATCGGCTGCTCCTGATACCATGCAGTAAGTACCTCTCCGGTCCCCCTGATCTCATGCTGCATGAAGAATGCGCGGCTGTGTTGTCGGATTCAGCATCATTCTCTTCCTCATACGCTTCTACCGTCTGTATCCTCCTCCCTCTCATCATCATCATTGGCGTAAACAGCAATGGCAGCAGCAGCAAGCATTGAGAGAAACAAGCTAGGTGATGAGCAGAGGAAGAAGCTAACGTTGGTGTTGTCGTTTCCTCCTCTCACGCCCTGAGATACAATGACTTTCAAATCTTCAAATTCTTATTTCCCGTCTCAAACCACATCTGTGTGATTGACTGATTGTTGACCTTTCCCTGTCTGTTTATTCTTTTCTATCCCTTGAAGCTGTGGTTGCGACCTACGTATAATCTTTCAACGTTCTTACTAGAGGAAAGAACGATAGCTTCGAGTAGACGAGATGGAAGAAACGATCAGAAAATCAGTGAGTCAACACGAATTAGCCAGACAACACGACAAAAACAAAGGTTACATGCAGGGTGATCAACAATTTGCATCATCGCACAGTTTGAATAGATCTGAACATGGCAACAACATCACGAGATCACCAATCCCCATCTCGACAGCGAAACGAAACATCTTAAGGCAAACTTACGATGCGTACAGGTCATTCACGGAATGGCCCAATGAGAAGCAGAATCAGAGGCACATTGCAGCTGAGGCGATCGGCACTCTGCTCTTTACCTTCATCGCAGGAGCATGTGAGTGTTGCTGCTCATTCAGGCGATCAGCTGACAGTTTCATCCACCAGCTGCTGTCAACTCAGAGTCCTCGGGTCTCTTGACTGGAGCGCTCGGATCTGGGTTCGCTCTTGCTGTCATCATCTACGCTACTTCCGGTAGGACTTGCGTCACTCCTTGCTGTACGTGACGATGGTGAAGGTGAAAATGGCTCTGGTGGAAAGATCAACCCAGCTGTCACTGCAGGCCTGCTGATCACAGGTTTGGAGGATGAGAGCTTGCCGACAGGACTAACGGACATGCGCGCAGGACGAATCGACAAGATGACTGCAGCATGGGAGATGATCGCTCAGTTTGTTGGAGGATTTGCGGGAGGCATCCTGCTGAAGCTCGCGCTTCCGCACACGTAAGTGTGATGTGCTTGCAAGATCATAGAGTGCCACATCTCTTCCTTGCCTCATACTGCTTGTCCTACAGGGACCTCACTGTGCCTCTTCTTGCTATGGGTGGACCTGCTACTTCACACCCGCTTTCTACATTCATTTGGTGAGACTTGAACGAACAGTTGAAGGGCGGTGTTCTTACATGCTTGACACAGGGAGTTCATGGCGACTGGCTTCCTCGTCTTTATCATCTTTGCTACTGTTGTAGACAAGCAGACTCGTCATCCTAACTTGACTGTGACTGCTATTGCTTTGTACGGTATGGACCTGACAAGTCACAGGTGACCCTCCCTGCTCCTTTCGCTCCTCTTGCCATCGGACTTGTAAGTCTTGAACGAGCTTGTGATGTTGTAACAAGGCTGCAGGCTGTGGTGGTTGATTCCTTTGCTGCCGGCCCCTTCACTGGGGGTGCCATGAACCCGGCAAGGTCGCGATGCCTATCCCACCTTGATAATGCTTCTCATCTGGTTGCCTTGCTCGCAGAGCTCTCGGCCCCGCCATTGCGTTTTGGAACTTCAAGAACATCTGGGTGTACCTGACTGCAACTTTCTTCGGAGGAATCGCAGGAGCTGTTGTCTACGAGAAAGCTTTTCTTGAGGTGAGGCCTCTCCATGGTTCCCTGCTGCCCTTCAAGCCTTTTGATGAATGTTGCAGCATCAACCACCCGAGGCGTTCGAAGTCAGCGAAGCTTCAGTCTGAACGGAACCATGGACAAACATGATTCGAGTCATGTGAAATTATATTGCAATAAAGTTTGAATAGAGGAATGACTTGCTGCATTCAAGCGCAACACCGGATCAAACAATTTCTTTAATGAACAAAACGTATCAAAGATGGTAAATTCAAGCTTTCTAGAATAGATTACAAACTTCCTCCCAATCTCATCTCATCCGAAGAGTTGTGCAGCTTAGTCGGACAATTTGACCATGTAAGATTCCCAGGTGTCGTCGTTGACGCTTCGATAGCCGATAGTCTCATCAACTCCTTCAATTCCAAACGAAAATTTGTCGAATCCCTTGAACCAACCAGCAACATAAACCCCTGAATTCAACACAGCAATACTCTGCGGACTTGATTGCTGACGATTTTCGTAACTGGCTACAGTATCAATTCCAACGGTGGGTTCTGAAAGTTGTTGTGTGAATCGGTATGCAGTAATTGTTGTTGGGCAATTGGATCCCGTCAAATGCAAACAAGATATCTGTACAGATCCACCATTGGTCTGGCCCGTAGAAGGTTGGGTGAAGTTTCCAACCAAGGCAACAGCAGTTGGTCGGTATGGAGCCTGAGTATCCGTTGAAATTTGTAAGATCCACTGTGAATAATACAAAGGATCCCTGACTGCGTCAGACTGTGCGAGGTACAAGACATCAGCCGTCGATGTGCTCATTCCAACCTGCTTCCATGGTCCATATCCTCCATTCTTCAAGTTGGTAGGACCACCATAAGGACCGACAGTGATGGCTGATTGTCCGATGGGCAATCCAATCGTCTTAGCCCACTTCACTCCATAAGCATTGCAGCCAATGTTTTTTGATGCGCAGGATTTGGTATAAGTCGCAGGCAACAATTCCTGGTAGGGGCGAAGCTGAAAGACGGATGTGCCATCAGGAACCGTTGAAAACGCTGGAATCACATTGTAAGCGAAGGTGCACGTGGTAGAGCAGGAGATCACTCCAGTGTATCCCGCGCCCGTTCCTTTGGTGATCGTTACTTTCATGCCATCCAATGAATTAGCGGAGGATACTGTTGCAGACGTGACCGATAGGCTCAAACAACTGCAGCCTCGAGGTGAGTTTGCGCATGCCTGATTGGTCAAGATATGCACAGCACTACCATCGCACGGGGAAGCTTGAGTGCCACTCTGAACGACCTTTCCAGTGTACGATGCTGTAGCGTAGTTCAACTGGGGGCGCAAATCTACTGTTCCAACATCGTCAAAGGTGACAACGAAGCCTGTCCAAGTAGATGTAGAAGCGGCATGCGAATACATGGTGCAATCAGGCAGTCCAGTATTTCCGAGAGATTCCTGAGAAGATGTCACAGGAGACGCTCTTAACATTGGGCAGCCAAGACTGTTCACTCTGCCAGCAGTCTTAAGACCGAAGATATCATCTCCATTGTAGCCAAGATTCGTTTGCACGGTAGACGAAGCAGAGTTGAGGAAATACGGCTGAGCGCTTGATGTGTACATATTGGATCCTTGATATTTACTTGCTGCACTTGCCTGATACGATCCAATGACAAAGATCTCTCCTGAGATCGCATTCACAGCCACAGATGAAGCTGTCTCACTGGTGGTCTCGCCACCAGTTCGCCTGATCCATTCAACCTGGGGCTGGCGCAAACTGTTTCCATACAACCCTGACACACCTTGCTTTGCAGGTGCCCCGTTACCAGAATACTTCACCAGGAAAATATCAGATAGCGTAGACAAGGATCTTAACTTTCCCGAGCAGATAGCATCATTCAAATAAAGGGTGGAAATTCCTTTCACTCCCACGGTCTTATCTCTGCTGCATGACAATGGGTACTTCGTTGCCCCAAAGTCCGCATAATTGCTGTCGGAGTTGGTTGTAATTTGACCCGTGACATAGATGTAGAAATCAGTAATCCTGCCGTACCCTTCCCTTAACGTTGATACTGGCCCTGGAGATCCAACTATCCGCTGAGTTGGAATAGGATCAGAGGCAGATCTCTGCGGCACTTGCAATCGCGATCCCGCAAACACTGGATCTAGAAATGCAATTGCTGTTGGGGTCAATATAAAGTTGTTTTGTGTCGCATCAACAACAGTGTCACCAGAAGCCGAAACGAAGTGATACCAAACCAGAAAACCTGTGGCATCGTACGCTGCAACATACATTGATTGTTTGGTAGAGGATGCGCTGGGAGTGTATCCAAGTTGCACATAGTCACTCGCAACAGTGTTCTGCACAACATAATCTTGATTCGCCGAGACTACCCCAGAGGCTGACACAGATTGAGTTCTGCAGAGTTTCTTAAGAGTCTTCACTTGTGGTTGTGTATTAGCAGGTGGACCTTCGGTGACGGTCTGAGTATTAAAGGTACAATTTTGAATTCGGATGGAAACAGTATCCGTCGTTTTCGTGTCATGTCCAAAGGTTCCAACAACAAATATCATGTCATTGTGCGAGGCAACTGCTGCGATGCTTCCACTTGATACTGTGTTTTCCGACGAGACTTGGCCGTCGTACATGAAGCGCACCCAAAACACTCGAAGATCATTGTCATACTGAGCCAAAAAGTTGAATTCATCATACACATTCTGCTGAAGTGCTGCACATACAGGGACACCAACAGTGACTTTATACGCGTCTGGCATCTGACCATAGCACACGAAATTCGAGGTAAGATCCTTCTTCTGCGCCTTTCCAGTGATATAGACACCTCCGTTGGCCCAGTGCTCGCCCTTTACGTCCGAAGATGGTTTACCAGAAATCACGTAGCACGAAGTGCTGTCTGGCGTCATCTCTCCATTGCCGTCCCAATCAGGCTGAACGTAAGCAGTGCGGGTTGCCGCCTTGTAATCTTGTATCTTCCTCGACTGTCCAATTCCCTTACCACAAGTGATAGTGATAGTGAGTCCATTGTACCATTTGTCCATGACGGTCCCGGCAGTATTGACCAAATCTTGACCGGAAGCAGCAAAATAAGATGCAGCGGTGTTGGCCAGAACAATGTATCCCGGGGACTGGCCGGTTCCTTTCGACCCAGAAACGGCAATGCCGCGATCATATTCAACATCAGTCCTTGTTACTGAAGTGGGAACATTGGGAGGATTCGAAGTAGAGCGCACTTGGGTGTTGATCACATTGCTTGTTGATGCATGAAAACATCGAATCTTCAAATTTGACACCACCAGCTCCTGTCCTGACTGCGTTCCTTTGATGACTTCTGAGTTGATGAACTGACCAAGATTTGAATATTTGATCACGAAAGCCTCTTGATAGTTGGCTCCCGCATTGGTTTGAGACGTGACCTGTCCGTATGTGTCGGTTCCAAGAATTTGAAGAGTTTTTGCAGGTGTGCTGGAGGCGACTCTTGTCTGAGTATCAACATTATAAATGTTCAGGGTCACATTTTCAACAGTACTTGGCAATCCGTCACTGTAGTATCCAACAACATAGTGATTTCCTGATGAAGCGTCCACAGTAATTCCTTGGATGGAGGCAACTTGTCCTCCAGCAGCTGTGTCAATCTTGTTAAGCCACAAAGGCTTCCCAACTTTGTCCATCTTGGCAATGAAGCTTGCACTTCCGGTGTACAGGTGGAAACTTTCTGCACCGCTCATGTCACAGTTGCCGTCCTTGACACGTGAAAAATCTGTTGTAGTTGCCACCTTGCTGGTGACATTGAAGGCAGTGATTGTTGCTTTGCAACCGTAGTTTGGAGTTGCAGATACCACTATGATCGTAGATCCAACGTAATCCAAACTTCCACTACCTGGACCCCCAGTGAAAGTGATAGTATTCAGAGTTGTAGTTGATGAATTCACGACCAAGTAAGTATTTGATGCTGTCGTGACAGTCAATCGCCCGAGTAGGTTTTGGTTCATGGCGATATGCTTTCCTTTGATCGTCATGTATCCATGCAGCGACCCAATCACATAGGTATCTCCAGTGTTGGGGTCAGTAGCCATGTCGTATACTTGTACATCCTCTGGTTGACCCGCACTGCTGAAATGCAATCCCCATACGAAGTCATAGGATCCATATTGAAATCCCCTGTTTTGATCAGAGATACAGCTAATAGATCTCGTAGAGACGTCCTCCCACCCAGTTTGAGCATAGTTCATGCGAGTGATAAAAGGGGATGACTTTGCTGCTGGTGATGCTTCAACAGTGACCTCAAAATTCTGCATGCTCTGCTGCGAGCTCAAACCAGCGGGTGGTGTCTCACAAATCAAAATTGAATGTTCCTGGGGTCCATTCCTTGATGAAGGGCATGGTTTGCACGATCCGCCACAGTTGTTACCTGTTTCGTCACCGTCCATGCAAGACAAGAAATAAATTGTTGCCATGGCATGGTGTTGGGCTGGAATAGTGCCTTTCTGGCCTCTCAAAACTGTAATTGAAGCAGTATTCGACGATGATGTTGTGGAAACTACCTTCATGATCTCATCATCTATCTTGATGTATCCAATTGTGTTGGTTCCGCCAATTTGCCTTGTGCTTCCCTGAATGTTGGACACAACCAAATTATTCGAAGAAATGAAAAGACTGCTGGTCAGGTATGCAACAGAATCATCAGATTTCATTGTTGACGATAAAATTGCCCTTCTTGATAGCAATTCAATTTGAGATCCTCGCTTATGCGCGCTGACTTGTGTACCCAGTTGTGCTCTCTTTACGTCAAAGATACTTCCATTGATAGCCATTATCAGCATGATTTCTGCGTCCATTTGAATGTATCGTCCAGCGGTGAATTCCTGGAGATCAGACTTGGAATCAACTGTTGTATCATAGACCTGAAATACGCTCTCGTCCTGCGTCTTGAAAGCTCTCTGCTCCCACCAGGGGTTTCCATTTCCATCATTGCGAACCACAAGACTGCCAGAAGTACAAGACGATGACATGACGTTATCGACAGTCGTGGCATTCAAGTATAAAGTATTGTTATTGAGTGTGTACGAATTGACTTGCAAATATGTATCTGAACCACAACTCACAACGCATCCAACCTGAGAGCAATCTGCAGTTCCAAGAAGTTTCAAAACGTCTGTGACTTGTAGCTCACTTCCTCCGTTTGACAGTGTTGACACAGCGGTGGTTTCACCAGCAGCAATTCTTCGAACGATGTCTCCAGGATTGATAGCTGGAGGGAGTGCCGACTGAGATGAGACTTTCATGAAGCAAAAATGGCCATCTTTCGCTGACGCTGGAGAGTAACCTTGACAAACAGCATTCGTAGAAATCGGCACTGCATTGCTGGCCGCAGCATTTTTTGATTGCTGCTGAATCCTCACCACGGAGTTCCTGCATACTTCAACAGCTCTGACAGCAGAACCAGTTGTGTGATCTCCCACAGGAGAATTGAAAGATCCTCGCTCAGTGATGTACAAAGTGCTTCCGGAAACTCCACTTACTCGAACTATCTCTTGTCCTATGACCACATATGCTGGATCATCGGAGGTAACAACAGGAAAGTAGCTTGAGGTGAAATAGTCCATTGTACCAGAAGTAGGATCTTGATCAAGTTGCACGGTCCAAAGTGAATTCAGGGTTACGACACTTCCTGATTGGCAATTGGAAGCCGATGAAACTGCTTGCAAAGTCAACACATTCCCAGTCCAGCTTGTGACGGTAATATTGTGAGTGTCTCCGCAGGAAATCACCCATGGACCAGTACCTTCTGCAAGAAGAACAGCAGCATTTTCCACCGTAAGGGACGTACCACCATTTGCCAGTGCAGCGCTCTGAGCAACAGAAACTGTGGTTCTGCCCTTGAAGTTGTTCTTGAAGTCCGAAGAAAGTGCTGTAGCGGCTGTACTCTTGAGATCAAAGAAATTAAACCCGCAGAGCGCAACAGCATCTTCAATGTAAATGTTCAATGATGTAGTCTTTGAAGTCCCGGCTTGGGTAGACAAGAACACAGAGTTCGAAAATTTGATAGTTGTAATACCCTCGATCATCTTGTCATCTTTGACTGTTGCAAACAACCCCTCAATATTCCATTTTTTCTGTTGATATGTTTTGCGAAACCCAGTTGTACCAGAGAAATCAGTGTAGGATTCACCCAAATTCGTGGTGAACACTGCATCATCTGGGCACAAAAATGGATATTTGAGATAAGGAAATCCGTACGTGCATGCAGTGGTTTGTGAGCCTCTACCAACACAAGTTCCACTTTGAACTGCCAATACTTGATTGTTTGACGAACATCTTGAATGTGAGCCACCAGGAACAGGGCAACTTGAGCAATGGGTAGGGAAACATGGACCACCCGTGTCAATACCAGTTTCTCCTTGGTCAATATACTTGGGAATAGCTGCAGTGCCATAGTTGTACCCCTTAGACGTTCCATCATCTTGCATTCCATTCCAGCAATGCTCAGGATATTGTTGTTTCATGGTGTCTGTTGCACTGTTGTATGCATTGTGAAGAGTATTTCCATTCATGTTGTTGGGAGACTTGAGTACATCTCCAGCTCCTGAGAGAATGTAATTGTTGTCGCCTGCTGCAGCCTTCTGTGCTCTTGATTCATCACGGACGATGGAAGCTGGAAAACTAGTTTTGCGACATGCTTTTCCGTTGATTCTCACGATTGGATTGCTCCCTGTCAAGCCGAAGTTTTCTCCCAGAACTGTAATGCTGGCACCTCCAGATCGTCTACTATATCTTGGCAAAACTTGTTTCACCTTGATGACATTAGCTTCATGTCCTTGACAGTAAAATTTCAATCCAGTTGGATTATAATAGGCAGATGGAGCTTGTTTGCACATGTCGATTGTTCCATCCAGGTTGCAACAAGGATACCAGGAGTTTCCACTGTACAATGCTACGGTAGAAAGAGAAGTTGCTTCTGCACCTGGATAGTAACCTCCACGAATTTTGATTTGCTTCACATGTGAAAGTACACCAAGCATATCAATCGTACCTGAATCACAATCAGTCACACAACAAGACAAATTGTTTTATTTGTACTAGGCTTTTTCTTGGTTCTGCTGTCAATCCATCCTGAGCCTTCGTTGAGAATCAATGTTATGGACCCTCCCTGATTGACATCCAACAAGCATCAGATATTTGTCTTGTAAATGAAGTAGAGTAGCAACCTGTTGCGTTGCTTGAAACATCATGAGCGAAAACCCACAGGAGGCTTCGATTATGACATCCGGAGCTTGTAGTGGAGTTGCTGTCAATGGAGTTTGCGCATGAATGAGCGTAAAGGACAGCTTTCCGTTGTAAGCTGCTGATAAATCTCCAGAAAAACTATGAAAGAATGCAACTCAGACGAATACAGCAAAACATGAGACACAAACTATAATAGCTTACCTGTCTGTAGGAGACACAAAGTACCAAATTTCATCATTAGTATCCGAACCACTTACACCTGAGCCTCGTCCAGCCACCAACTGAACAGACGATTTCTGATTTTTGAGCGTAAGCGTACTCCAACCTGCCAGCCCTGGCAATTGCAACGATGAAACCATAGGTTGTGGAGGTTGTGAGACGGCCAAAGGATAACTTCCAGCACTGCCGAAATGTAAATTCACTCTTTAGTAACCATCTTTGTGGGCTACCTGGCCGAAGGCAGTAGTACATTTGAACCTGAACTATATTGTGAAGGCTGGCTATACCTGACAAGTCGTAAGCACTCAATGCCCTTTGACAAGCAAAGAAAACACACGTGTTACTACTCGAGACCACTGAAAGACCTGGGGAATTTGAATATGTAGCACTGGTAACACCATCCAAGAATAGGAGCGAAAGGGCGATCTTGAAGATCCGTCGAACCATTTCTCCTTTCATCCTCACTTCATTCAACTCAAATCTCCACGATACAGCTCAATCCACAATGAACGAGTGGAATGAGGAGAGTTGATAGAGGGGACCTCCACAGAGGTGTGCGAAGGAGAGGGGGAGGGGTGGCTAGAGGAGAGTTGAGAGGAGAGCGATGGGGAGAGAGGAGGTTGAGAGAGCGGGAAAGCGTAGGAGGATTGCAGCGGCGGTTGAACGGGTAAGGTCCGTCGGTTGCCCTCAAGAATCGTACTGATGGATGGTACTGTGGTACTGTAACACAGTACTCATTTTGTCGTATAAATATATTTGGAAATATATATACCTTAGTCTACATCGTATAAAGATTATTATCATTATCTGGGGCTGTTTTATCAACTTGTTCTAGGTACAAGTGAAAAAGGAATGGTAAATACATATAGTTTTTATCAATCCATAAATGTCATACAATTTAAAGCATCTGGTACAATTTAAATATATTTTTAATAAGGATACATCGAAACGAAAATGGAGCCATTTTAGGACAACGGTTAGAGGATAACGAATGTTCGCTATCGGCCCGGGCAACCGGAAACCCGGCGGGCCCGGCCAGCGCGGCCCGGTAGCTACGTTACCTGCAATTGACTCAACAAGTCCCCCTCAGGATTATTTTATGGAGACAATAAAGGCATCAAAAGCAGAAAGGGAATTATCCCTGCACATATTCTGCTGCCCTGTCTCATCTGCCCTCCCCAAGTCGTGACCTGCCAGGACCTACGGAGGAGGAGGAGCCCCTTGCTCCTATTTCGAGACGGGTGCCATGCAGCGAAGGGAGTGAGTGAATGCGATGGAGGAGAGGGAACGAATGGAACCAGCAGCACTGAATGCATTCTGCAGGAACTTCAGAAGAAGTGCTTCAAGACTCTCCGCTCTCGCAGATTCAAGGAGATATCCCGTCGACAGCGTTATAGACCAACACATCAAGCCTGTCGAAGCTCATAGCAACAGGTTGGCTTGAAGTCTAATACTTCTCAAGGGGTTTGATCTCTTCTCAGACCGTCAGCTCATAGAGTTGATGGATCTCACTACATATCAGCAACCAGAAACTCTTGGATCCCTGCCTCGACAGACCCTTCCAAGAGCCATGGAGATGAGTCGATCAGGTCCTAGGCCTGCACAGAGGCGTTGGGGAGATGTGATGTGTCATGCAGACCCGTCAGAAGCAGTGAGTCCATCATGTCATCCATCTGGCAACAAAGTCATGACACTCTGAGACACGCGTCTCAAGGGGTGGTAGCAGCGGACCTGAGAAGGTGCAGTAGCGAGGGGATGGGACTCCGTTGAGACTTGGGTTCGAGCAGGTCTACCCTGCTCCTGCAGTCGCTGCATGAGGCGAGAAAGTTCAAGGACATCGACGACGTGAGAAGAGCAGTGCAGGAACATGAGCAGTACGTGGGGGACCTTCGTAGCAGTCTAAGGTCCAAGGGTGCCTCTGCGGTACAACGCAAGGCCACAACGTAACCTTTCATGTTGTGATGAACAACTGTCGAGCTCTTACTACTTGTCCTCTTGAATCTAGATGGAGGCATCAGTACCCAGACCTTCAGCTGGATAGAATACGAGGGAGTGTCCAGTGCATCCAAGATCGTGAAGATGAAGATGAATTCTCGAATGAAGGAGATCGATTGATTGAAGCCGTCCGCCCAAAGACAGTCTCAACCTATCATAGAGGATTCATCTCCCGCAGTAGCAGATACAATAGGTTGGAAATCGCAAGAAATCTCATCATTTCTGGCAAGGTCGAGGAGGGAGAGGAGCTTGTACGAGAACTGAACCAGGAGGATTCAATATACAACCAAGAAGAGAATGTCATCAACTATCAGCGAAGCACCTTCCCTGCTGCCTATCCCTCGCATCTGCTGAATGGACCAAACATCCCTGTGTCCGTTCAAAGGTGGACAAGAAAGAATCCTTGCTGTGGTTGTTGGCTGAAATACAGCACTGCAACAGGACGGAGATTTGCAGGGCGTATGAAGACATTTTCAAGGGAACACATCCAGATCATTTGGATGGAGATCTTTTCAAGCAACGCAATTCCTCGAGGTTCGTGTTTTTGCACCTTGTTTGGAATCGTGCTGATCAGCACTGCTGTCAGCTTGAACATGAGAATGGACCTCGACAATTTTCTGGAACAGACGAAACGAAGCTCGTTGGCGTTTAGGAAGAAGCAGAAGGAAGCAGAAGAAAAGGCTCTGAGGAATAACGATCTTGCAGACAAAAGGTGTATAATGACCTCATTCTTGTTGATAGAAAGTATCGATTGATTGTTTGATGCAAGCAGGCCGAAAGCAGTACATGAAAAAGCCAAGACATCGGAGGAAGACTGGAATAAAGATTATGGCGATGTGATGCGGATGACGATGGAAAAACTGCTAGGACGAACAGTGATCTTTGCACCTCTTGAATCAGAAAACAACCATGACGAGAAGCAATTGACTGCCGAATGTTAGAAGGCAGCGAAAACGACTGAAACGTTGAACGTGACCTGCGGAGCACAAAGAAGTACTATTTGGCCAATATGGATTTTGCAATTGAAAGTGATGATAATTCTTTCAGATTTTGATGCTGATCTTTTTCTGAATGAACGTTGCAAAAGGTTTTGGAAAATGCCTTCTTCGCACAAAGAACACCAGCCCCCTGATCTGCTTGACACGGAGATGTCAAACGTGCAAGATAGAAGCTTGCATCCGCACCGCTGTGTATGGGTTCTGCAGCGCGATAGAATCCTTCGTGCTCAACATAGAATTGCTCAGCCAGTATCTGCCCATCACCTCAGTTCCAATCCCTCACAATCGCAGACGTACATGGGCGAGCGTTCAAGGAAGAGCCTCTCCATCGATCGCGCTTCACGGTCTTCGTCGATGGCATGAAAGATTATCGAGAGAGCGCTCTGATCCCTACATCAAGCTTCAGTGCGAGCGAGTCAAGAGGCAGCACAAGGGAACCATCGGTGATTCGACTGGTTGCTTCCCACGGGAGCAATGCACTCCAACTTCATGCTGCATCGCCACCTGCATACCCGATTCATCACCATGGGCGACAACCTGTTTTCAACTGGTACCATGGGAGGAAAACCTCGTGCCAGGTCGAGTGATTCTTGTCCAAGGCGATCATGCCAGCCTTCAGCGGGCTGTCAATACCAGACAGTTGAATTGGTTTCAGGTACCGCCAGGCTTTCTTTCATGTCGTATCTCCCCGGATTCTGTAGAAGAGCGGTTCAGCACGTTGCTACGGCATCACGTCAGGCTCACTAGCCCCAGTTGATTGTACTGCTCGGGAAATGCCCTTCCTCTCATCAGATCAGGCCGATTGCCTTCCACAAGAATGAGCGATGCAGGAAATCTCTAGGCCTCGTTGCGCAACCCATGCTTGCTATGACGAACCAATGACCAAACGCTCTCAGCTTTTGCTTCACGTCGCTGCTCTCAAGTCATCTCGCTCTCCTCCCTTTCCTTCGCACGCTCCTGTACCTGAGGTTCGCACGGAGCTCTACCCCCGAGTCAAGGTACATCAGGCATGGAACACGATCCAGCGCGTCTTTCAAGATGCATGCCTGCATGACTTTGCTCAACAAGATGATCAGAGCATTCTGGCCTTACCTTCCATGCATAGTTACCAAGATGGCTGACGTGGGGTGGGAGGAGGTCAAGGTTGAAGCGGACAAGGGTTGTGCGCCACCAGCCGGAGACGTTTGCGGCTTGTTGTGTTGTGAGGCCGACATCATATACCACAATATTCAGCACAGGATGGTGGAAGTGAATCGATCCGATCAGATTCTGCCTCTAACTTCACAGCAAGAAGTAGCCTACTCAAGTCACAAACCTCCAGGCTTTCGTAGAATCTATCCGAAGCGGCTGTGACGACATGCTGCAGATCACAACCTGCACTCGCAGTGAACCATCTCATCTCGCTTTCCTCCTTGCTGCTGTTGGTTCCACTTCGGCGCCAATCTCATACTCAGTCGTGCAGGAATGAACTCGCTCTTACGAAAATTGCTCCTCTTCTCGATCTCTTTCAACCTCGACTTGCTCCTCCTCCTCACCATCCTTCTTAGCATCCTACTCCTCACATATCATGACCTGCAGTCTGCAGCTCCGCTTCTTCACCAGCTGCTGCTGTCCCCACGGTGCACAACAAACCAGCAAAGATGAAAACCGCCCTGCATTGCATGCAAAACTGACGGTGGGACTACCGGTGTCTTTTAAACATAAGACGTACCAATAGACTGGGTGGGTAGTGGTGAATGAAAAACATGAGCAGAGCAATATTTGATATTGAGTTGTAACATGACAAGCTAGCTAGATACTCTAGCGCGAAGAAGTTCCAAACTGCGAGAAGAACGACTCATCCACAGCTCCTGCGTATACCTGTAGAGAGCAAGATCACTGAACAACCATGTCATCACCACCTCCAATGACTACCTGCTTGTACAAGACTTCCTTTCGTTTCCTTGCTTCTTCCGCTTGCCTCCTTTGCTCGTCCGCCACCTGGCGTGCTATCTCCTGTTTCCTCCTGAAGACCTCTCTCTCTCCTGCAATCAGATTCCTGCGCACCGCCTCTTGCACCAGATCCCAGTTTTGATCCTCCTCCTGCTCCATCTTCTTCTGGTTGGCCTTTTCATTCGCCTGGCGGATCTGCTCCTCGCGGATGGACCTGACCTGCTCAGGGTCGAGGCCTTTAAAGTGATACTTGATGTAGCGATGTGGAGCGATGCAGCTGATCGTGGTAGCACGGTTCTCGGTAAGCGTATCCGACGAGATCTGGTTCTTGATCTCTTCTATAGCGTCTTCCATCTCCTCCATCTTCCTGATGGTCTCCTGCTCTTTCTTGGCCTCCGAGAGCGCCAAGTTGTAATCTCGCACTGCATAGTTCATCGCAGCACGCGACTTCATCTCCTCGATCTCTAACTCTGATCGGCGCTCGTCAATCTCTGCCTGCCTCTCCGCTAACAGCCTCTCCATCTCTCTCTCTTGCTCAATCTGGTCTTGTTTTTCTGACATTTGCTCCACGACCCACATGGCTTGCTGTTGCTGCTGCTTGCGAAAGCGATTGCCATAGTCCAAATCTTCTCCTGCAAATTTTTGCAAGGAAGCGGGACCAACAATGGGGTCGTCATCAGCCATTCTTGCTGGCCTATCTTTACGAAGACTGAGAGGGTCGTTCAGATCCCATTCCTTTCTCATGTACTTTTGCTGCATCTGGTCTCGGTAGTCTTGGATAGACATCAAGTTTTCCTTTCGCGCCCTCTGGACCTCCCTCTCCATTAGCTGAACCCTTTGCTCAGTGACAAGAAGACGGTCAGCAAAGGCTTGATCCATCTTCTTGGCTTCTTCTTGTGACCTTTGCTTTTCTTGAATTTGTTGTTCCAACCCATCCTTGTCGATCCCGATCGTTCTCTGCTTTGCATTGAAAATTCTGGCCTTCCTCTCTTCTTCCATTCTCCTCCTACGCTCAATCACACGAGCTTCAATTTGTTCCCTGCTGACGTCTCCGGACGTCGCCAAGACTCCACCTGCTGTTGCCTGCAAGATGCGTCAAATTCTGTTGGATCGAGTGAAAGTTCCTAACGCCCAACCTCTCCGCAGGAGGTGGTGGACTATGTCAATCCCCCCACTTGGTCTTCACTACCTCATCTCCATTCTCCTCCTCCTCCTTCACCTCCTCCTCCTCCATTGGTCCTCAACATTCCTGCCCATTTTCTCCTCCCATCCCTCCCTTTTCCTCCCCTTGTCCACTCGCACCTCCACCATGGCCACTCGCGCGCTTACCATTGTTTCGAGGGATTGTGTGAGCTCAGGGGGTAGGGTGATTAAAACATCGGGTTCCCCTGTCCAACGAACTATACTACCCCTCCAAAAATCAAATTTATGATCTGACTAGTACCGGTATCGAAACGGGCATTCATCGCTGGAGGGTAGAGGTAGTCAGCACCAGGGGTAGAGAACACTTGGTTCGAAACTCAACCGCCGGACGCCCGTTGGCAGTTACAGAAACGTTACCAACTGTTATCCTCCGGGCCCGCGTCTCAACGGTCGAATTCCGAACTTTCAGTCTTGTCAGAGGATCAGAGGATGGGCATGAGGGGATGAGGGGGGTCGTGGTAGGATTCCATGCAGGGGGGGCGCGGGAGGAGGCAGAGGAGGCAGAGGGGAGGGAGGAGGAGAAGGCAAGGATAGAGGTGGGGAGCAGACAGAGGGATGAGTTGATCATGTCGGATCTCGTGGAGAGGGAACAACGACGACCGCCTTAGCTGGGGGGTTTCTGTGCAGGTGGCGTCGTGATTGATTGAATGGGATTCAGCATGGGAACAGGTGCAAGGAACAGGCACAGGCTCATGGTTGGAGATCATGTGGATGCGCGATGGAGCGTGCCCAACGGGAAGGAGTACCCCTGGTTCCCGGGCATTATCATAGGAACAGACCCCACCAAAGAAAGCTACGTCGTGCGGTTTGAGGACGGGGATGTTCAAGAAGTACGGTACAACCTAGTCCGGAAGTCAACGGACTACGACTTTCCTGACCAGCTACGGTTTCTGCCGCTTTCAGTAGGGGACAAGGTGGAAGCGCGCTGGAGGCATGCGGACGGAAACAAGAAGTGGTACAAAGGGACAGTGATGAACATACATCCAAATGGCAAGTACGCGATCCTGTACGACGATGGAGACTTTGAGCCCTTCGTAACACGAAAGAACATCCGAGGGAAGGAGACCACCGCGGACGGGAGGAAGTATGATTGGAGCAAAGAGGCCAAAGGAGTCGGGAAAGAGAATAGATCACGACAGGACTCAGGCAAGCAGCAGGAGGCAGGAGGGAGGGGCAGGTCTCCATCACCGTCGAAGGCTCAGCCCAGGAGCAACTCTCCAGCAAAGCGGAAGCGATCAGAATCTCCATCCAAAACCCCCCCGAAGGCCAAGAAGAGCGGACCATCGATGGAGAGGGCCAAGCCAGCATCGAGGTCAGCCTCGCCGCACAGGAGCCTCGCCGCAGCCAAGCCCAAGGCTGGCTCTGCGTCCAGGTCAGCCTCGCCGCACAGAAGCCTCGCCGCAGCCAAGCCCAAGGCTGGCTCTGCGTCCAGGTCCGCACCGACACACAGGGGCGTGGTTGAAAGCAAGCACAGGATACCACCTGCCACTCCGGCGCCATCGTCTCTGCTCGACGGAGACCTGGAGAGCTGTATCGATGCGAAGGCTGCAGCGCTGCTGGCGAGTATGAAGACACACCAAGGAAGCCACGCCAAAGGAGAGAGCAAGAAGTCATTAACCGTCCAGAAAAGGAGCGAGGTGACGATGGACCCGATACTGAAAGTAGGAGACTACGTGGATGCACGATGGAGCGTGCCCAACGGGAAGGAGTACCCCTGGTTCCCTGGGACCATCATCGGGATCAAGCCGAACAAGGGACACTACATCGTGCGGTTTGAGGAGGACGACGAGATATACGAGCTACTAGCGAAGCATGTGAGAAAGTCGACGGACTACGACTTTCCGAAGCATGTGCGCTTTCTTCCGCTTTCAGTAGGGGACAAGGTGGAAGCGCGCTGGAGGCATGCGGACGGAAACAAGAAGTGGTACAAAGGGACGGTGATGAACATACATCCCAATGGCAAGTGCGCGATCCTGTACGACGATGGAGACTTTGAGCCCTTTGTGCTGAGGAAGAACATTCGAGGGAAGGAGACCACCGCGGACGGGAGGAAGTATGATTGGAGCAAAGAGGCCAAAGGAGTCGGGAAAGAGAATAGATCACGACAGGACTCAGGCAAGCAGCAGGAGGCAGGAGGGAGGGGCAGGTCTCCATCACCGTCGAAGGCTCAGCCCAGGAGCAACTCTCCAGCAAAGCGGAAGCGATCAGAATCTCCATCCAAAACCCCCCCGAAGGCCAAGAAGAGCGGACCATCGATGGAGAGGGCCAAGCCAGCATCGAGGTCAGCCTCGCCGCACAGGAGCCTCGCCGCAGCCAAGCCCAAGGCTGGCTCTGCGTCCAGGTCAGCCTCGCCGCACAGGAGCCTCGCCGCAGCCAAGCCCAAGGCTGGCTCTGCGTCCAGGTCCGCACCGACACACAGGGGCGTGGTTGAAAGCAAGCACAGGATACCACCTGCCACTCCGGCGCCATCGTCTCTGCTCGACGGAGACCTGGAGAGCTGTATCGATGCGAAGGCTGCAGCGCTGCTGGCGAGTATGAAGACACACCAAGGAAGCCACGCCAAAGGAGAGAGCAAGAAGTCATTAACCGTCCAGAAAAGGAGCGAGGTGACGATGGACCCGATACTGAAAGTAGGAGACTACGTGGATGCACGATGGAGCGTGCCCAACGGGAAGGAGTACCCCTGGTTCCCTGGGACCATCATCGGGATCAAGCCGAACAAGGGACACTACATCGTGCGGTTTGAGGAGGACGACGAGATATACGAGCTACTAGCGAAGCATGTGAGAAAGTCGACGGACTACGACTTTCCGAAGCATGTGCGCTTTCTTCCGCTTTCAGTAGGGGACAAGGTGGAAGCGCGCTGGAGGCATGCGGACGGAAACAAGAAGTGGTACAAAGGGACGGTGATGAACATACATCCCAATGGCAAGTACGCGATCCTGTACGACGATGGAGACTTTGAGCCCTTTGTGCTGAGGAAGAACATTCGAGGGAAGGAGGTCACCGCGGACGGGTGGAAGTATGATTGGGCTGGAGGGGGACGTTAAGACTTTTGGCGAGCAAGACTTTGATTGTTCTTGACGTAACTCTCTCAAGCACAAGTCCTGTGGCACCAGATGGAATGCCAGTGCTGCTAGGCTTTCCGTGTTCAAGTCTTCATTGTTTGAAATCTATCGATTGGCTCCCCGGAATCGTCAACTTGCCCTTGGTGCAGAGTTCAGTAATAGTCTTTAGCGTTGCCTTTCCTCACCTTGAGTGATTAGGTGGAGAGCGCAGGTTTATGAATGGATCGAAGATGTTGTCTTCTTCGATCAACGTCGCGTTGTCAAACCGCTCAGACGCCAAGAAGACCTGTACGGTGTCGCAAAGATATTCTCAATGACACAAAGTGCTGGATACCTTCCCAACAAACTTGTTCTTCCTGAGAGTCACTCTGTGCTTTCCCAGCACGAAAGCAAATATAGCCTTGTTCTGATCGATTAGGCCTGTTGTACTATTATACACAAGAATCACTAGACGTCGCAATTACAATTCGACATTTCGAAGCTCGGGTAGTCGTCAAGACAGAAGGCGCACAGAGAGCGTGTTATATGACAACGTTCCATCTGCAAGAAGTTGATACAGAGAGAAGAGGGAGAAAGTCGACTATCACCTTCACTGCGCTGTTCCCATAGATCATCATGTTGAACATCACCGCACCTGAAAGTTCGCACTTCTTCGCGGTAAAAGTAGAGTTTCCGCCCACGTAGATGAGGTTGTTCAAGTCTTGAGGCACAACCGAATCGTTGAACTGACCTGAAGTCAGCAACGAGTCTCAGGACCTCAGGAAGTTCTTACTTCTCGCTGGTCTATGGGGAGTTCTTGTACCTTGGTTTGATACATGGAAACCTTGGGCGATTGGCACATAGGAGAGTCCAGAGGGCGTTCCTCGTCTAGTTCCCCTCCTATGATAATCAAGGCAGGTGCTTCGAAACCCGTGCCAGTACCCATGATGCAACACTTGTTGAAATCCCAGTTCCCACCGAGAATGAAGAAGACCCCGGCACTGGTTCTGGGATCTGAGTTTTGCCTCTCGTTCAGCAAGTAGAGGTTCTCGAAGCGGCCCTCAGCAGTCTTGCTGAGGTCTTGCTCGAGAAACCATGAGCCTCTCACCTTGACTTCCTTCTCTGGGCCTAGCTGATACTTCTCATCCTCTATCTTGTACTTCCGTTCCTCACCAAACACTGACACGCTCCTCGCAAGTCTCAGCGAAAGCGTATGGTCGAGGAGGTGCGCTCCCTTTCGCAATTCGATCTTGGATTGCCCTTGCCTTATCATGTCTGCGATGAAACCAGATGTCTCCAGTTCATGCACAGCAGCATCGTTGGCTGACACGACTATCAGGATCGTGAGGAGACCTTGAAGGTAGTTCATGTGCCTGGAGCGGATTTGAAGAGCGTCAATTCGATGTCAGGCGAGTATCAATCATGATATCACTGTGACAGTCGCTGCTGACCTACTGCCTCCTCCTCTCCCTCCCTCCTGCTTCCATGGATGTCTCGACAGGACTTATTGCCGCTTTCCGAGGACATTAAATTTAATTCGAATGAAACACTGGTATAAGTGTATCTGCCTTTTTCAGAAAACTAATGAAATGCCTGAGGTGAGCTTGTTCTTTTCTATCTGGAATCCACCCCACCTTCTGCAATACTGTTTCAGGCACCCGTCCTTTCCTCAATTAGTATAACCCCACCCTTTGGAGCTACTTGGTATTACCCTACCCTTGCCTAGCCTCACTTATCTTTAGTGACCCCCTTTTTACATGATACAATTAGGGGTACTATCCTATTTTAGTACCCATCCACCCCCCAATATTGACCCCTACCCTGCCTCGAAAGGTGGGTGGCGTCACCATGGACGTGCGATCCATGCGCGACGACGAGGTAAGAGGAGGGAAGTGGGGAGGGAGCGGAGAAACATGAGCAGCAGCAGTAGGATGAGGAGAAGAAGTCGAAGGAAGAGGATCAAGCACGTTGGAAACAGCTAGAAGAGCAAGAGCAATCACATCGCTGAACGAGAAGTTAGGGTAGTTGGAGAGGATCGCGGTGTATACGAGGAGGTAAAGCGAAGGAGGGAGGTGAATTCAACTCTTGATACATGTAGCCATGATAGTGACAACACAATCATGATGAGAAGGAGATGTGCATTCCTCTTCACTCTTATCCTGGAACAGGATTCCATGAGGTGGAGGTTGAGATCAGTTTGCGTGAGCTTGTGTCTTGGGATCATGGAACAATCAGAGAATGTTGTGTAGTAGACGGCAAAGAACGGAAAATTTCTGATAGACTGATAAACGACATGGATGAGACAACCTAGTGTTATCACCATGAAGAAGAGACTGCTAACAAGGAACTGATGCTTCGGACTGACACGTAGCAATACCACCGTGACATTCTGTCTCATATCCCTGTTCTCATTCTTTCACCAATGCCTGGCAAGAATTTCACTTCTTTCACATCATATGCATTCCATACTCCTCCGTTGTTCCACTACAATACTTCTGTCCCTGTGTTGTCCTCGTTGGTTTTCACGTTTGTTGCCTGTCAGGTGCTGGTGGTACAAGACGACAAAGACAAGGCTGATCCAGCATGGCCTCCTTGGAAGCAGCTGCTGGAGGTGAAAACTCCTTGCCACCTCTTGCTCGTACTCTTTGCCCTTGCTCGTCGTTATGTTCTTTTGCTCTTGCTCTTACTCTTTTCCCTCCTGATTGTTTGTCCTATCGTCTACTGCCTTCCCTGTTCTGTGAACTCCCTTCGCACTCTTCCTCAGTGTTCCTCTCTCCTCGTTTGCTGATAGGCAAGAGCAGGACCTTGCGGAAGCACATCCTCCTCCGAGCACAGTCAAACTCGCGTACAAGAACCTGGGAGATGCAGGTGATGGAAGCTGGTGTTGGTGTCCCTTGTGACACGGAGAGCAGGAGCGTTCCGACTGGCTGAGCTCCTCAAAGGTCCACTCCAAGGAGTCAAAGGTAAAGCATGATGCAAGGAGGAGGAGGAGTAGGAGAGTGAGGACGAGGACGAGGACGAGGAGAAGAGGACGAGGACGAGGACGAGGACGAGGAGAAGCGGAGGAGGAGATCTTGACATCAAGGTCTGCTGCAGTCCTTGACCTGAGCTGCACGTCTGTTGGTTCTTCTGGAGCATGCGCAATAGCAGCTGTCTTGCCCGGTATGACTCGCCTCCTCTTTCTCTTCCTTCCCCTCCTCTTTGTCTTTCTTCTCCTCCTCTTTCTCTGTTTAATTTCCTGTGCTTGCTGCTCCTGCAATCAATATCCGCAACCTGTCTCCTCCTCGACGATATTATCTGCCTCCCCATTCTGCTCGTAATGAAGCTCCTGCAGGTCATGCGGAGCTGCGAGCGCTTGACATGAGCTCCAACGCTGTCACTGACGTCGGCGCTATGGCGTTTGCTCAGAGCATGACGAAGAACAGGTGGGGAAGAGAGGCAGCGGGAGAGCTTGACGTTGGGGCCGCAGCACGTTGCAGTCGTTGTGCTTGCACGCATGTCTCATCGGTGACAAGGGGGCGAGCGCCATAGCGGAGACGCTGGAGGTTGGACGAAGTGGAGAGAGGGAGGGAGGGAGGGAGGGGAGGGAGGGAGGGAGGGAGGGAGGGAGGGAGGGGG